CCGAAAAAGCACATAGCCATCCATGACAGCATCCCAGTCATGTGGGCTATCCCACCATGTCTCTGTAACCGCAATGAGATCATGGCCCTGCGACCGCACACAGATCTCTAACTCTTCCTGTTTATTTCCCGTGCTGCGTGCATTGGTATGCAGGCTATACAGGCATTCCAGAGAGCCAGTCAAGCATGCAAGCCTGCCAGGAGAGGTGCAAGAGGATCCTCCATAGCCATGTCCCATGCTGTCTCCCATGGCTGTATGCACCCGCTGGAGGCATCCTGACTTGAGCGGTGTTTTACTGACTCCCCTGCCACTATACCACTCCCCTTCCCCCATCTTGCCTAGTTTAAAGCCCTCCTTACCAGGCTGGCCAACCTGTTGGCAAAGACGCACGTGCCCCACTTGGTAAGGTGGATCCCATCGCTCCCCATCAGCTGTTGATCTTCAAACAGGGTCCCATGGTCATAGAAACCAAAGCCCTGTTGCCAACACCAGCGGCGCAGCCAGCTGTTAACTTGGAAAACTCATCTACTCCTCCTCCCCCCGTCCTTTCCCCTCACAGGCAGGATTGAGGAGAAAACGACCTGGGCTCCCAGACCCTTGACCACCATTCCCAGAGCTCTGAAGTCCTGTTTGATGGTTTCCAGTTTGCCTCTCGTGTCGTTAGTATGAAAGTTATTAGTTTATTTGTTCCATTCACTTACACTTGTGTTGCTGTAATTTGGAATGGTTCTCTTTTTGCCTCATAGGTGAAAGTTTAATGTGGTACACAGTATTTTTTGTTTGTTTTTGTTACATCTCCTGAAGACTTAGAGAAGAATAAATGTGTTTGATTTCATAAGGAAAATGAACTTTTCTTTGTGTTGCATGGAAAATTCTAAACTGTGTTTTTTATAAGAAAAACCATTTTAGCCAGAAATGATTAACAGTAGCTGTTATGTTTTGTTGAATTGATCTCCAAATGCTTCTGTTATTTTTATAATCTATCCTGGTTAGAGGGTGACTAGAGATGAAAACAAACAAATGTGTGTTCTGTGTTCATGGGTGGCAATCACATTTGAGAATTTATATAATTACACTTTTTTCTTGTCACTTGCAGGCAGAAATCGTCAAGAGGCTGAATGCTATATGTGCACAAGTCATTCCCTTCCTATCCCAAGAGGTAAGGTAGTAGTTTGTACTGGTACTGATCTAAAAAATTGTCTTATCATATCTGTTACAAAAGTGGGACTATGTGTTGAGACTGTTTCGTTATGAATCTCTTGGTGCTTGTAGATGACTTTCCACTGTGCTGTTCTCATTGTAACTTCACTATCTTCTCCAAGTCCATTATAATATCATGTAAATATATTTACGTAATGGAGCGTGTTGTAACGTGCTAAGCAAAATTTTAGTTGTTTAAATATTTTGCTCTCATGTACAAATGCAGTGTTACTCAGAATTATGACTTTGTCAGTCTGGAACCAGAGGATAGCTTGCAAAAGTGCTGGAAAGGCATGATTTCTGCTACGTTCTTGGCAGTGGGCTTTAAAGTTCAGCAGAAACTTTTATGTTGATCTGTTGAGTAGTGATGCTCAACACACTAGACATATTAATGCAGCCTATTTTCTGCCCATTTTTTTTCCTCTCCCCCTCCCAGATTACTTATTACCTTAAATCCTTTTGTTTCCTGTGTATTTGGGGAATATAGACAGAAGATTAAAATTCGCTGTGAGCTAATTTCTCTAAGCGCTAATTTTTTCAAGATTATGATTTTCGAGTATTATCTTGAGTGCACTGTAGATACTTTGAGGGGACCTGGGATTTGGGGGAGTTGGTTGGTGCTAGTGAGGGAGCCTTGGAGCCACAGGCATGTACGAAGTAAAATGAAAGTGTGGTTCATGAAAGGAGACTTCAGGTGCATAGCAGCTTCCCCACCCCACTGGAGGGAGGGGATTGGAACGTGGGGGCTGCTGATGCATGCTGGCATGCATCTATGTAATGTGTGATTTCATTTCAGTAGAATCAGTAGCCAAGAAGTCAAAGCTGTAAGCTGTATTTCTTTGTAGTGCATCTGTAAAACATTGTATCTATGTCTGAGAATATGCTAGGACTCCTCCTCCTACCTTTTCAATGGTTCCATAAAGTGTCATTGCTTTCCAAGAGAGCTGCTCATCCTGCTATGTATGAGAGGCCACATGTTTGATATTAGCATTCAGCTAATGCTCTGGATGTGCATGTGTGTGCCTGTGTGTGTTTGAAACAATGAGAGTAATGCTACCAAAGCTAGAACCTGACATTGTTCACAAATGCTACAGTACTCTTTGCTTATAAAGATGGGTTTGTGGAAACTAAATGGTGTGTAATGATCTATACCATGCATCTCCAGCTACATTGCTGGAGGACTGGAATTCAAGTCCTGCCTGGATCTGAAATGAAAATCTGTTGATTTTGTACTTTGACTGCTACAGAAACACTATGCATCTAGTTATTGGGGTTTGTTGTTGTTGTTTGGGAATAACAGCATATAAAAATGAGGTGTAAAACAGATTCATACTCATGCTAAAATGAGCACTAAATGACACAATTTTGAAACAATGGTGGGATGAGTACTTGGCAAGCAAAACTATGATCTTGGCAAAGGCATAGGATTGGCATTTCCATGACAATGACATCTTTTCTAGAGTATGTGGTGCAGTATTTAGAAACTTTGCACCAATTTACTACTACTGATAGTGGTACTGCTATTTTCAGCTGAAATCCTCCAGAAATCTTCATTTTGGTACACAAATCACATCATTCTGTTTTCTGTACTTCTACAAACCTGTAGCTCATGTTTTCTCTTGGAGTAGGTATGTTTCTCGTCAATTAGACAAGCAAAGGGGGGGGGTACATGGGTTTAGAATTAGAATACATTTGAAGGAAAAATGTTTCATTTACAATGCCTGGCAGATTTGGCCTTTGATTTTGAAAATCTTAGCCTCCACTCTCTCTGGGTGCACATGTGGGATTAAAAAAGAAAAGTTTTTTGAGTTTTACTTTTAGCGGTGTCTGACTTGGACGAGCACAGATTCTCTCCTTTTTCTCTGCTCCATATGCGTTGTGCTCTCCTGTCCCTGGAGCTAAATGACCCTGGAGTCATTCTCCTAAAAGCTAATATTGGTACATTTTAAGTGCCTGCACTGAAGGCAGGAGGCATTGTGAAGACTGCACCTCATATTTCTTAATTTTTCTTCAGTCAAGGAGAATCTCTCTTGTGGGGTTCACATACAAAAACTAGTGAACTACGAGCCAAGGGCCCTGGCTGCTGTTTAACAACCTCCTGGCCATGAAGCTAGGCATGAGGAGCAATTTAAAAATAATTATGAACTTAACCTTTGCAGTAGATTCCCATTAATATGCTTATTTTAAGAACTATGTAGGTAGACAACTGAGATGATCCAGATGGTAAATTTACAAAATGATGATGCCCCACTTCTGTTACGGGTATAGTACCATCCAGGGAGGGCTCAGGCACACCAAAGTCAGTGTGCTTAATCACTGCTGTTTACTTTGTTAGGTTTTTAGATCAGACCTTTGAGTTAAAAAGTTTTAGATCTGAAAACAAGCTCTTGTATGATTTCTGTGCTAGTGGGCCTCTGCTTTTTACAACTTTGGCCCATAAAGTTTCCTTCAGCTGTTCACACATCTCATTCTTTTGCATTTACCAAGCATTACAGCTTCTTCTGTGTGCATGCTCTCATAGTGTCAAAGCTCTTCAGGCTACAAAGGAAATGGAGAGTTCAAAATAAGTTCACAACTTCAGCATCTTTGCATGCATTTGCAAAGAGAAAAGAGAACGTTTCCAAAAAGTAAGCGTACATGTTTGTCTTGCTTGGAGGCAAGTGTGTTTTTAGTCATCTAGTGAGAGAGGGGACAGACAGGAAAGAGGATTTGAAAGGGTAAGCACAAAAAAACCCCCAAATCCTTAAAATATCTTAGCAGTGCCACCGATTATAATAATTTTCATATTGAGATTAAGAAAATTGTGGTAATTGTATGGCCTCTATTAGTAGCAGCAATTATTTAAATCAGGTTATATTGGCATATGCTTATGAGGCAAAAGAGAACTGATCTCCAGTTCTGAGTATTCTGCTAGTCTTGATTTCTATCTAATTTCTGTCTTTAAAAAGTAAGTGTCTTAATGGAACCCTCTTTTTTTCATCATCTAGATTAATAGAGAATTGAAATGCAGCATGCTTTTGCTGTTTATGCATTTTGCATGCAGTCTAATTGTGGAATAGTGACTGAAAAAATGTGATCAAACTCCTTTGTGCCTGAGGGAAGAATGAACAAAATACAGCGGTTACATGCACTGATGGCAACACTATTGCCTCATAATAGCACCAGGTTAACTTGTCTTATTGTTTGTTAACTTTGTAAGGAATCAATGGCTTGTGATAACTCACTCAGAAGTAAGAAATCGTGGCCAAAATCACTTGAGATCTCGTGAAAAGGATGCAATTATAATAAGTCACCATATACTACGTGCTTTGTTTCAGGGGCAATTCAATAAAGTATTCAGGAAGTTCTCTACATGCAGGGCTTCAGTCAGTTTTACTGTGCTGTCCATTACCAAACAAGTACCTTGTTTTTATGTTGACTCCAACTTGGGGGGCAAGACCCTTTAAAAAAAGGGGGGGAGGGGAAGGGGGGAACCAAGAAATACAAGCTTCCCATTTTGATATGAAAGAATGACTTTGTGGTTGAGGCATGAGATGGACCTTGGGGGCGATCCATGTTTGATTTTTGCTGCTGTTACAGACTTCCTGTGTTGCAACAGTCATTTTCAACCTCTGTGTGATGTTGTGAGATATCAGTGGGCTTGAAGCACTTCCTATTTGAGATATCAGCGTGCTTTTGAAGCACTTCCTATTATGTAAGGGGGGTGGGGGGTGTCTACAAATATCTAGGTAAGTACTTGGAGGTTATTAGCACTCAGTTAATTTAGTTTTGGTCTACCACAACTGGTATAGATAACATAATAACATATACAACTGGTATAGATGCAGAGAGTTCATACCATCTAATGATCTACCCAGTGAGACACAATTCAGTTTGGGTCTAAAGCTGTAGATTATGCCTCTGCTAATGTTTTTAATTTCTTAGCTGAGTTTATCAGCTGCAGCACAATGTGACACACAACCCTGCAGCGTTTGAGTTGAGGCTGATTCCTGCCTGACCAACATGGTATGCGTGGGTGGGTGCAACCTGTGGCTATCTTTGTTCGACCCTGCTGGTGTGCCTTGAGTGCCGAAAGATCTTAGGTACCTCATGTGCTGGGTAGTCATGTTTGTTCAGTGTGACCAGAGATGTTCATATATCACGATTACCTTTTGGGTAAACATTGACTGTGTTTATACTTGTGCAGACACACGCAAGCTGGCTGATTTACAGCTAACAATGTAGTTGTGGCAACCCAGAGCTCAGCCAAATCTGCTTGAGAAGCCAGATAAATGTTCGTGGGGTCGTTCCCTGTCACCTTCCATGCCCCACTGTCAGCATTAGGCAGGCCAGAGGAGTCTACAAGAAACTTATTATATGTTGTCTGAATTACAGTGCCTGGATTCAGTGACCCTGCTGGTCCCTTTTAGTTTTCCAAGTGTGTGCTGTACTCCACTGTAAATGTGTTTTTGCTCTCTGATTCTCGCTATTGTTTTTGGCACTGTTTCATTTCATTATGCTGTCTCTAGATCAGGCTTTTCAAAATGACACTACTGCAGTTCTTAAGACCTGATCTGTGCTCCCTCTAAACAGATAATACAATGACAAAATAATATGAATAAAACATAGTAAACCTCCTTACTTCTGCAATGTGAATTGTTCAGTGAGTTTTGCTTTGGATCTCATTAGTGGTGCTGGAGAAGGGCTGAAATTAGATGTTTTTAACACTAGCTTTTGCGCGTGTGTGTGTCGGGGGGAATTTCCACTGCTCAGTTGCCGTCAGCACAGCTCCCCTGTCACTGGAAACAGCAGGGAGTTCTGAAATGATATAAAAAGCCCAGGTATTTTCCGCCATGCTGCAACATATATGCCAGAGTCAGGGCTAGATGATAGACAATATGATGGTGAAAACACCTACATCCTTCTTGTGATCTCTGCTATAGCTACCCACCATGAGACTGAAAGGAGGAGATTTCCAGT